CACATGAATGTATCTATAGCAATTACCAAAATTTGTCTGTATAACTGTATTGATATTTATTATTAAGTTTTTTTAATATATATATTATTGTATATTCATAGTGTATAAAAATAAAATATAAAATAAAATAAAAAATATAGCACTATAGCACCCTAGCACTATGATGCTATAGCACTATAAAATAAAACCCTTAATAAAAATTTATTTTATTAATAAAATTATAAAAAATGCTATAATTCTTAAAAATATACTCTAAATAATTTTAATTTATATATACAGTAAAAATATATTAAATTGGCCTCACCTTTGAAAACTAAAAAAAAAATATACAGTATATATGATTAGGGAGTGCCATTTATTACGCAATTTTTTTAGGAGGTGGAGGGCCAGCAATTTATCACATCTATATATCGAAGATAAACCTTATGATTGGCTACGGATTTTATCACCTGGGGAGGGGTGTGGCCTTCTAATATAAATTACGCGATAAACGGCACACCTTAGTTAATTATACAATCGAGTTATTGAACCAGAAAAACAATTAGCAACACTTTAAAGTTAACTAGTTCTATAACTATTGAATTTTACATAAAATCAACATAACTTTAAAATTATATTGACAAATTTTTAATTGCTTTATAAAAATTCTCGGTTTTCATTGTGAAAAATCGTAAATTTATATATAAATTAAGAATTTGGCAACATAGTTTAAAATTACATCTAAAAATCAAAAATCAATTATATAGTGCATCGATCATTTTAATACTGCATTATGATAGGTCATTCGATGTGCAACGCTCCATTAATAATTAAATAAAAGGTTATTATTTTGAAACACCAACAATACTTTTTTTCCTCTCAGCTTTATATGGTACAAAATCCTTTTTAGAATGCTTGCGCAAGTTCTCTTCTTTACGGCGTTGAGATTGTAACATAATACGTTTTGTATCTTGTGCATTTTTAACAGCTTTTGGTATATGTCGGTGCCTTTAATTGAAAAAGAATTAGTAACAAAGTATTAAAGCGCATTTATCATAAAAATTCCAAAAGAATACCTGGATATTCTTTTAATTTCTGGCAAATTTCTATAACGATCTTTGAGTTTTTCAGCATATTCCAAATGCGCACGTTCCCTGTAATCTTTCTGTAAAGTTTAGACAATGAATATATATAACTATATTCATTTATGATTATTTAAAAATAAGTTTAAATATACCGGGCCAATTTTTTCGGACGCGTTTGCTTTCCAAAGTCGAATGTTCCCATCATCCGAACCCGAAAGCACATATTTTGAGTCCATACTAAACTTCACACAGAAAATTCGTTGCATCCGTTTGGTATGGTAAATATCACGGCTATGTCCTTTCCGTGAATGAAAAAGACGAAGAGTTCTATCATATGCACCTGTAACTATCTCTTCCCCTGTTGGTGAATAATCCAAGTCCAACCTGTAGTAAAGTGGCACGAGTTATTAGTAATAATTAACAATAAACTAACCATATCAATGTACTCACACTGCTGAAACATGTCCTTTAAGTACATTCAATGCACAATCCATTTTACGCATGTCAAATGTATAGCAATTATGATCCTCATTCGCCTGTAAATTTATTCATATAATAATAACATTGGTTATTTTTCATTATTTTTCGCCACAATATTATGTAATATATACCGCTGTAAAATTAAATGCTTCCATCGGGTTCCATGAAATGGAATTTGTCTTCATCTAACAAGCCATAATATAAATGTGTTTAGCTAATAAAAATCATAAAAAAAATCCAAAGAGCAAAAATTTTACAAACCTGTAAAATTAGCTTTGCCAAGGGAGAATTCATTCGAAGATCATAAAGAGTAATTGATCT